AGGAATGAAGGAATGAAGGAATGAAGGAATGAAGGAATGAAGGAAGGAAGGAATGAAGGAAGGAATGAAGGAATGAATGAAGGAATGAAGGAATGAAGGAAGGAATGAAGGAAGGAATGAAGGAATGGAATGGAATGAATGAATCTACACTGCATTACTACAGCTACGGATACAAGAAGTGGGTAGAGCCCCTGTTAAAAATAAAAAAAAATCTGCTACTATGAATTGTTGTTGCTATTCTAATGATACCTTCGAAAGGATTTGTATTGGTTTGTGTTTGGTTATTGAGTGTGTTATGTACATGTATGTATTGGTTTGTTGTTGTGTTAGGTGGACAATAGCAATAGCAATGCATAGCACAAAAATTAACTTACATGTTTTGTCTTTTGTCCCCCATAGAGGAGGGGGCCGGCCTCTGTGTTGCTGACCTACAAAGACGAACGGGCAATGCAATGCACGACACACGACAAACGAGCGAGTGGACTTACCTTGGTGCCTGGCCAGAGGACTTGTGGTTTGTTGTCTCCAAGTGGAGCCTATAAAGAATGAATGCACGCAAACAATAACAATGCACGACACGACCAACGAGCGAGTGGACTTACCTTAGTGCCTGGCCAGAGGACTTGTTGTTGTTGATCATCTCCAATCGGAGACCTATAACTACAAGCAAGAAAGAGCAAGTGTCAGTAGCAAAGCAAGGTGTTAGTGGTGTTAGTGGTGTGAGTGTGTTAGTGCAAGCATTAGCAACCACGACAATGCAAAGCAAACAATTTAACTTACGTGTTTTGTCTTTTGTCCCCCATGGAGGAGGGGGCCGGCCTGGAACGTACCTTGTTGTATCTCCAAGTGGAGCCTGTGAATTACGAGAAAGTGCAATGCAACCACGACACGACAAACGCTTATGAGTGAACTTACCTTGTTGTTGGAACGTACCTTGTTGTGTCTTCAAGTGGAGCCTGTGAATGACGAGAAAATGAGAAGATCAAGACGAATGAGGGGGACGAGCATGCATGAGCAATGTTGGAACTTACGCTGGTGCCTGGGCCCTAGGACTTTGTGTGTTTGTTGTCATTTCCAAGTGGAAGCCTGTGAAAGAAAAGATCAGGACGAATGAGGCGGACGAGCATGCATGAGCAATGATTGAACTGACCGACCTGCAATGCAAAGAAGTGAAAGTGTGTTAGTGTCGTCGCATCCGTCTTGTGTCTTGTGTCCTCCCTCCGCTTGCCCTCCGCAGCATCCAACCAATCCATTACCATTCGATGCCCTCTTCGACATCGTCCTCGACGATTGGCTTCTCTTCTTCCTTCACTTCTTCCAAGAGACTACCGTTGTACACTGCCATCGTCAATTCAAAGGCAAGGAACAAGGGTTCCATGTTCAGGAGCATCGCTGCTCCTTCCAAAGAAAGATGCGCAATGTGCAACAATTGGTGTCGTCCAATCTTTCCACCACACTGGAAGAGACAGATCACCAGACTCGCGACCATGCTCGCGATACCAAAAGGGACTTGCACTGCTTCCCGTTCATCAGCTGCCATGGCGAACATCATGCACTTGATAAAGAGCAAGCCCCAAAGAAACTTTGCAGCGAATGAAAGCTCTTTTGGTTGTTGTTGTTGTTGGTTGTCATCGACCTCTTCTGGAATTTCAATGACAACGTGTTCGGCGACTGGATCGGGAGAGAGTTGTTGTTGTTGTTCGCTGCTTGTCAGCATCGGCAAGTTGTTGCTCTGCCTGTTGTCGCTCGTAGGGCTTCATGAAAGCGTCCACTTCCTGACGGAGTTCCTCGCGTGCCTCCTCTGTCAGTCCGTAGGCCTTCACGAGATTTGGTCGATCACACACAAGTAGATGAAGAGGATGTTGAATCTTCTTCTTGTCGATATCAACATACCCACGCCATTCAAAATATGGATCGATCGTTTCATGGTGCTCCGCAGTCTCCAATGCCTTTCCGTATTGTGCACGTCGAACATTGGCCATGATTGCATCCTTGACGGTCTTCTTCTCCTTCTTCTCGACTCGTCCAAGACGTAGTCGACTTGAAGCACGGCCTTTTTGAATTCCACCTTGTGACCCTTTTTGTTGGCTGGCTTGTTGTTGGGAGTTGTTGAAATCTCCGAGTAGTCTCCTTGCCAAACTTGAGTGGGCGCATCGTCTCGAGGGACAATCTCGACGTATGCTAGACACTTTTCGCCAGTTTCAGGGTGATCCACGATCTTCTTGTATCGACCACGTCGATGGTTTTTTGGCCCCTTGTCTCCAAGACAGTCAATGTGGTACCAAGCATATGTAACAAAACCAAAAGGGCTGGTTGGCTCATCATCGTCATCGTCCTCTTCTTCAGTCTCGATGACATCCTCATCCGCCGATGGAGGAGATGGCTTTGTTGTTGGCTCTGCTGGCGGTCCATTCTTGAAGTACTCCATTGCGGCCAAAGTGCGTTGACGACTTTCTGTTGTTGGAGCTGGCAAGGTTTTGAGGCACTTGCGGAACTCGGCGATCATGTCGTCGATGGTGGACTCGGCTGTCTTTGGTGGAAGTGGCAGGTTGTTGGCTCGAAGGCTGTTGACGCGCACTTGCAACTTGGAGAGTGTGTCTGCGGCGGTGGACACTGTTGTGGTGACTTTGGAGACTGTCTCTTGTTTTGTTGGCCCTGCGGGCGGAGACGGTTCTTCTGCAGAAGGTGGGAGCAGAAACATTCCAGAAAGTGTGGTCCGGTTGTTGTTGATGTTGTTGTAGGCCACGTTTTCTATGGGCGTTGTCATCATGTTATCAGTTGTAGTATCTAAGTGGACATTGTCGAAGAGCGACTGTCCCTTCTCCTCGGCCATGGTCAATTTATGTTGAGGAGGTGTGTTGTTGACTGGAGAGACTTTCTCTCGCAGCTCGATCAAGACGGGGGCAAGGCGCATCTTGATCATTGTTTTGTGTTCCCCCGCTGGTAGCGGTCCTTTCTTCTTTTCCACCATGGTGAGGAGATGGTGAGCAGGAATCGGAAAGCAAGCTTTCGAGCGTCCAGAAGGTTTGGTTTTCATGTTGTTGGCCATTGTCACAGAATTGGAAGTGACAGCAGCAATAGTGGGAAATTTGTAGTGTGTTGTAGCGTTCAGAGTTGTAGCGAGAGTAGGGCTTCGGCGTACGTCTAATCGAGTATAGTGTTTCCAGTTTTCCAGAAACAAATTTGTGAGCAAAGAATGAGGTTGTCTCATTTTTCATCGTGAACTCAGCTGTCGGAGATCATCAGCGTGGAACGAAACGCCGTGCAATCGAAATCCGTCTGAAAAAATCACGACCAAATGATGGACCGTAACCGACCGCTGATTTCACCACAATAAAGCCGCTTCCGACGCTTCTCCTGGTCTCTCCTGGCCAAAGACCACTCGGCAGGACCTGTGGGTGCCATTGTTGGTGTTGGTTGCTTGTTGTTTCTTCCATTGCCACCTTCTTCCTTGGCAGCAAGTTCCTGACGAGGGTCGACAGCGTGCCAAAAATTGGTCGTGAAAGCGAGGTGACACGAAACCGTGCTCATGACGTCATCTAACCGATTGACGTCATCTGACCGAGACGCAAACGGGACTGAAAGAAGCTTCAACCTCCCTCCTCCTTGACGCTCGATCGACGGTGTTGAGGGCGGTGGACCGTGGATGATGGTGATGGATGTGGACCGACGACCAGCTTGAAGCCTGATGGCAAGGGCTCCCTCCTTGGGCCTCCTTGGCTCTGCGGCTGAAGGAAGATGGTGCTTCATGGGCCCTCGTTCGCTTGATAGACCTTTGTTTTTGTTGGAGGATCGTCTTCGCCGTGGACGGTTTGCTGTTGGGCTGCCGTCCGTGGATCAAGAACGTTCGTGGAAGGAAAAGGCTTGAATCAAGTCTTCCGCTGAAAAGGTCAAGTTGTTCGGTATCAAGTACGCTCTACGGTACGTAGTACATGTAGACAAGGGAAGTTGCAAACGGAGTGAGGTATCGGCACGTCTTCAAGAGGCAACCAACGCATGCGGCCCGTCTGAGCCACGAGGAGTCGAACCAAACCATGGCGATCGATGCAGATCGATCATGGATTAGAATAGAGAACACACACATACTACAAGGAAAAGTAAGCAAGTAGAGAACACAAGTAAAGCGATAAAGCAATGTTGAATATTGATAACTATAGTAGTGACGTCTTGTCGATCATCGGAGTGAAAAAGACTTCTCGTTTCCAGCTCCAATACTCTGCTACTGATTAGACGTAGGGCGTTCCTGTTGAAATTGATTCCTTCCTCTGACTAGGGAGTTCCGCGGTATCCCACAGTACTATCTGGATCAATTCCCCAGTCGGCAGATCTAGTACGCGACTTGGTCCCGACTTTGCGTGCTGTCTTCTCCATGGTCGCCGCCGCCACCTTACTGCCGCCGCGACCGCTGCGATGCGGCATCTCCAAAGGAGGGATTGGCATGTTCCGCCCTGGATTGAGCATGCGCGGCTGTCCAGCTGACGTCGTCTTTAACTGAATGCGCAGTGCTTCAATCTGCCGTTCTTGCGATTCCACCAATGACTCCCACTGATCTCGTTCTCGATCTTGTTCTTTCCAAATCTGACTGATTTCTTCTTCCAACTCGAGCGCTCGTTGTTCCTCCACCTTTTGTTGATTGTGGATCTTGACATTCTGTTCGTGCATGTAGTCGACTTCCCGTTGGAGTTCTTCTTGTTGAAACCACATTTTGTCTCCTTGTTCCAAGAGTTCGTTGATTTCCGTTTCCAACTTGGTGTGTTCGACGCGAGTGGCATTGAGTTGGAGTTCCAGTTCTGCAGCACGGTCTTCTTCCATGCGATGACGTTCAAAGATATCTCGATTCTGTTCTTGCAACAATCCCACTTCTCGTTCGAGTTGTTCCCGATCTGCTAGCAGTTGATCTTCCGCGGCGGCCATGTCTTGAATCTCTTGCTCCAATGTCGTCTTGTCGTTCCAAATGGCATCCAATTCTAGTTCCAATTCCTGTGTGCGCTGCTTTTCGGCTTCGTGCAGTGTAATGACGTAACTGACTTGATCTTGAAGATATGTGGCATCGTCGGCCATTTGTGCCAGACTGTCGGTAAAGTGTTGGACAATGTTGGTGGCATGCTGCAATTCAATCAGCGTCTTGTCGTCGTCTTCTGGGCGGGGGGGCATCGGTGGTGGTGGTGGTGCCACGGCACGATTGTTATTGCTTCCAGGAGCACCACCAAAGTTGGGTCGAGATTGGGGGGCCGTCTTGCCATTTCTATTGTTGTTATTGTTATTGTTGTTTCGATTGTTAGTGGTAGGAGCAGTAGGAGTGGTTGTTGCAGCTGTGGTAGAAGGAGGCGATGTTGCCGTCAGGGTGGTTCCACCCACAGTTGCCCTCTTGCCATTGGCGGGTTTGACAGAGGAAGGTGCGGTGGGGATGGAAAGACGCTGTCCAAGAGGCGACTGGTCCTGACAAACGAGGGTGAAAGCGGTAGCATGGCCAACCACCAACAAGGCGGCGGGCAAGAGGAACATCTTCATGATGGCTGAATTGAATAAGAATTCTGATGATGTTGGGATTGCCAGAAGAAAGAATAGATAGATTGTGTCTTTCCCTCCCCTTCAGCAGCTGCATGTTGTGATGCGTACAGCTGCCGTACATGCAAGCCAAGATGGCTGTGTTGATGAAGGACACCCAATGAAGACAGCTCTGACCAAAGACCAAAGTGCGTGAGTCCTCATGACGAGCGATGACGCCAACAGAACCAATTAGAAAGATGAGTGAGAGAAAAAGGCTTCTTGACTGATGTGACCTGATGTCAGAGGATATTCCTTTACGTCATTCAAGCTCTTTCGCCATCTGGCGACCCGCTTTGCATCACCTCCAAGCTGCCGAAGGATCTTGAGAAGGTACCGGGTACCGTACTATTGTACAGAAGAGGAAGTTGACCGCTGTATAACTTTCAGGCTGGCCCGCTTCTTCGAATCATGGCCAAAAACTTACTATACTAGCTAGTGGTAGCAAACTAAGTACTTGTGTAGAATCCTACAGCGGACTACCAGGGTTTTTAAGGCCTAAAAAGTACTATAAAAAATTAAGTACTTGTGTAGAATCCTACAGCGGACTACCAGGGTTTTTAAGGCCTAAAAAGTACTATAGAAAATTAAGTACTTGTGTAGAATCCTACAGCGGACTACCAGGGTTTTTATGGCCTAAATAGTACTATAGAAATTTAAGTACTTGTGTAGAATCCTACAGCGGACTACGAGGGTTTTTATGGCCTAAATATTACTATAGAAAATTAAGTACTTGTGTAGAATCCTACAGCGGACTACCAGGGTTTTTATGGCCTAAATAGTACTATAGAAAATTAAGTACTTGTGTAGAATCCTACAGCGGACTACCAGGGTTTTTATGGTCTTCCTTATTTATTTGTTCGATACCGTAAACTCTATCTAGCTAGCTATGGTAGTCTAGATGATGTTATTATCTCCTCTTTACAGCGGCTACTCCTTTTGAAGAAGACTCTTCTATTATACCATGATCATGACAGGCTCCTCTTGTTTGGTTGGATAAGAAGGAAACAGCGGCAGGAGCTTCTTCCGTTCGACGGAACAGATCGATGACTTGGATGACTGCGTCGATGGCTTCCCTTCACGGCACGACCATGGCGCATCTACCACAAACTAGCTACCAATGAGAAGTTAACAGAGGGAGGAGCTTCTTCTGTTCGACGGGTCGAGGGATCGATTGATGACTGCTTCCATGTGGATGGCTCCCTCTTCACGGAGCGACCAATGAATGACGCCTCCGGATTGGCAGCGTTCGATCGATCTGTTCTATCGTTCCATCCATGCGACAGATTCTTCCAAGTTCCAAGGCGGATAGTTTGGTCGACGGATCTTCATTGTTAACGGATAGATGATCCTGGTCTATGACATTGCTACGGTACTACTGTACTACTAATGCAACAAGCAGCAGGTGCTCTACTACACGTACTGATTTGGTGGTGTCGAAACGAAACGGGGGCTTTATCTTTCATCATGAATTTCTACAATCTACATGTATCTGATTTTGCGTGGTTTGCCTTCTATTAGCACTGATGGGAAGGGTACTCCAGTCTTTATGTTCATGCCATGCCACACATTCATTGACATGAATAACTCTACAGTTTCATACATGTGGAGTGTGGAGAGGGAGGACTGGAGCACCATGGAGAAATCCATGGCAGCATGACAAGCAACATATCGGAATCCATCCATGCTAAATTTTCCATACCGTCGTGGCTCGAGCCATGGCAACAAACCTTGGAGCTAGTTTCAAGGAACGCAAGTGTCTGTGAGTAGTGTGTTGAGGAGTTGCTTCTCTAAAACTCGTTGGCTACGTAGACAATATATTGGTAAAGCTTAGATAACACCCTGCATTTGGTCAACAATACTGTTGTCTCGGTGGTAACATTCAATCGTTTTCTTTGATCGATTCTTCTCTCTACTAGTACAGCTGCTCATGCCTACAGTAGTTGCTAGCTGTGGAGGAATCCATGTGTGGCTTTGTTATTTGTCTTGCAAGTTAGACTAGATCTACTTCTGTTTGCTCGTTCTTGTGTGGTGGTGTGGCAATGGGGCGGGTGAGGAGATTGATGCTCTTGCGGATGTGTTGTTTTCCGCAGCTTTCCTGGCTAAAGAGGTTGTCATTGGCGCAAGCGACCGCCATGCCGCTCTTCCGTCCTCTTCTTTTGGTTACCTGGTGGACTACTTCTATTGGTTTCTGGATGGAGTGTAGAGTGTAGTAGTCTAAGCAAGAGAGAGATCATGCAATCGCCGTCTCGATGGGGCAAGTCCACTGGCGGAGGAGAAGCACGGACACCGGAACGAAGAAACACATCCGACAACAACAATGACACTACTCAAGAAGAAGAGCAGCCCTATCAACCCCCGCGGCAGAGAGTGACGGTGAATGATCTGGATGTGGAAGAAGCGGAAGGAACGGTGGTGCAAGTGTTGGAAGAACGACATCGTCAGAGTCTCAATCCAACAGGCTCAGTCCAGCACAAGATCCAACGCCTCGAAGAAGCGGCCGAAGCCAGACGCATCGATATCATCCGCAAGACACATCGGCGGGCGGCATCGGGCCATGCGAGTCATATGTTGCATCAAATTGAAGAAGAGGATGATGGCTTTTCCATTCTACTAAACAGAAGAGACAGACTGACAGAGAACGATGGCTTGCTACGAGCCCTCAATCCGCGACACAACAATCCGACCAATCCGTATGCGTCCAATCTCGATCACCATTTGCTCAAGGGACAACAAGAAGAACAAGAGACCACCGATGAGTTTGCTCGCTTGACTAGTACTACTACTATTGATCATCAAAAGTACAACAACAATATTCGCCAAAGAAGCCCTCGCGGTCTTCCTCTGCATGGTCATCCAAAGACATCATCCTCCGACTATTTTGCCACCAACCAGGATGGATTTGTCAATGCGAGCAGCAATAGCAGCAATAACAATCAACAACGAGGTGATGATCCATACGCGTCGATTAAACAGAGCATTCTCAGTGGCGCCAAGGGGCGGATCCGCCGCGTCGTTCCTCGATGGATCCGAGAGCTCTGTTCCATGTGTCATCCCATGCGACTCTTCAACAATTGCCACGACATTTTGGTCCGTTCGCAATTCCTCTGGATTGGGTTCCCCTGTTTGCTCGGATCGGCCTTTTGCGTGTATATACTCGACAATCCACGGCTCCACTTTTTGCCGGGAGATACCACCCTGGCGGTTTGGTTGTTGTTTGCGACACGGCAAACCGTCACGTTGGGAATTGCCAGAATGACTGTCTACGTGCTCGTGGACGGGCTCATGTTAGTACGTTCGTTATAGTTGCGCATCAACACGGCACGCCCATTCATCATCAAGGCGCTCACAGATTTATTGCTTTTTGCAGGGGACCCACCTCGCGGTCCAAACTCTGGGACCGTTGGTGACACTCACGGCCGCGACTGGGAAAGGATGGCCCGCCATTATGGTCTTTTGGGGTCTATGGAATCTTGTCTTGATCCATGGAGACCACCCCTTCCAACTCAACTGGTTGTATTGGACGGAGATGGAGTTGTTTAATCAAAACTTTGGTGGTCTCTTGGTCAACAGTCTGTTGTACACGCGGATTCTATTTGCGGCCATTCTCGGTGGACTCTTTGTGTCTGCCAAGAGGACCATTTTTGCATTGCGGTTTGGACGGAAGCAAGTTGGTACGTGAACTTATATAGAGAGAGACCGAGTTATGCCATTTAATGGATTTGCTGACTGACACCTTTGGCATGCTGCTACTCTAAGTTGAATTCCGGGGGAGGCTCAAGAAGACCCTGGCCGATATTGTTCTAATAGACGAGGTAGCCACCCTGGCAGAGCAAGCAGAGAAGGAGGAAGTGGAGGAATCCTCTTCAGAGGAGGAACCGCCGAGTTGGGATCTCATGTCGCCTTCCCTTGTGCAGCAAAACTTGAACGATATCCTTTGGATACCAAAGATCGAGTATCAGGACTCCAACACATCCGAGTTTTCCTCCAAGACCCCCGACGAACCCGCCAACAAAACACCTGCCAACACTGAGAAACGTACTTCCTTTGCTGACAAGCCTGTGCCACCGTCCAGCGCTGACAAGCCTGTACCCACCAGTCCTCCTAAACCGTCACGTCACACGCTTCGAAGGACGGAGAGTGGACGAATCCACCTCAAAGATATGTTGGACTCGTGGGACGAACCCGGCTCTGATTCGGACAAGGTTTCGGATATATCAATTCACGAAATCTTGAAGTTTCGACGTGCTCTTTCTCATCTTGAAGAAGATAATATCTTTGGAGAAGCTTTCGGTTCCACTGCATCCCGTGATGAGTGCATTGCCAACAGTCACTCCGTATACTACCGCTTGCTAAAACTAGCCCATGAAAGCGACAACAATCTTGATGCGAGTGGAGGAAGGAAACATAATGATGTCCTTCCTTTTGATGTTTTGGGCTTGCTTTGCTTGGGAGATGATGGCAAAACCCTGAATGAAGGAAAGAAGAGGAAGATTCGAAAGCTCTTCACCCCGGACAGGTGCGGCAAAATTCCACTTCTACCGTTCATCCAATCTATTGACTCCTGCTATAAAAAGCTCGTATTCCTAAGAGCATCCGTGAGGAGTGCGTCCTTGCTGGATCGAGTATTGGAGAGGCTTTTCAATGCCCTCTTCTACTTTGTCCTGGTCTTGTTCTTGTCAAGTGTGCTGCAGCTCCATCCGTGGACGCTCATGGTATCGATCACGTCCCTGCTTGTTTCTGTTTCCTTTGCTTTGGGAAGTAGCATTTCTCACTACGTCGAAGGGTAAGCAACGACGGTCCACATGGCTCTGTTTCGCGGTCTCAATGTGCTCACAATACATGCCCTCCCTTTCTCCAGGGTTTTCCTCATTGCTGTTCGGCGTCCGTTCGACCTGGGAGAGTACGTTGAGTGTTTCGCGAATGGTCATGGGCTCCACCAATCTTGCTTTGCTCTCAACCATCCTTTCCTCTTCTTCGGTCTGTCATTGCATGTCCTTTTCAGCCGAATCATCATGTCAAGTGCCGATTGTATCGACCCCTTGCCGGATGTACCCAAGAATTCATGGCTCGTCGAAGAAGTCACTCTCGCCACCACAACGTTGCGATATGCCAGAACGAACGAAGTCTGTACTGTCAACAACTGGTAAGTTCAGTTTCATTGGATGTCTCGTCCGCCATCATGGCAGCATGCTGCTCACATGTCGCATTCTCCCTGGCAGGTCTCTTTCCTCGACGAGAATAGTCAACTTGGCGCGGTCCCCCAATGCAATCCTCAACTTTCCTTTCAGTGCACACATTTCCATCTTGGAAGGCAACAAGCTCGAGCAATTCAAAAAGGCGATCCAGAAGTTTGTGAGCGAAAGACCTCGCGTTTGGGAAACTTTGGCGTTTGTGCGTCACGACATGGCGGATGTTGGCAATGAGGCTGTGAATCTCTCCTTTGCAATTCGTCACCGAAGCCCGTGGCAGGAGGCTGGTCGCATCAAGAATGACCGGACCGAAGTGTTTCGTTTCCTGTATCAGTTGGGGAACCAGCTGAATGTGCACTTTTCCGCTCCTGCGGAGCAGAACATTGTCTACCAAGGGGGGGCACTGCGACGAGGTGATACGGATGACATGAGCAGCAGGGATTTGATAAAGAAAAGCAACATTCGCCCCATTCCGGTAGAGCCGATGGTGGGTGGTGGTGCCGGGAAGATGTTTTGAGAGTGGTTGTTGTTGCTGCTGGTTCCTTTGGCAGTTTTTGTAGTTTTAACTTGGCCAAAGCTCTTTGCAGATTGAGTTCACCCGTGTTTTGTACCGTTGATTGAGTTCCATGAATGCAGATGCGGCCGTACTAGTAGCTGTTGGAGCTTCATTAAGAGTTGCATCACGAAACTCGCCCCAGCGAGCAACACAGTACTGTAGCTTGAAACATACATCGATCAGGACGTCAACCAGCCATTCAAAGGTCCACCCGAAAACACGATCTTTCTAATCTTCTGTGCCGTAGCATCCCCCCAGTCCTGCTTCCATTGTCTGTAGGAACAAGGCTGCTTGGCAGAATCTCTAGTAACTGGTTCATCCTCACGTGTGTTGGTTGTTGTTGGAGCAGAAGCAAGTTGGACCACGACCGATTGGGCCATTTCCAAGATCTTGTAGCGGCTGAGCCGGGATGCCAATTTGGTGTAGTCGGACAATTGCTTTGGTTTCTTCCCTTGACAGATGCCGCGTGCTCCCACAATCAATTCGATATTATTATTATTTTGTTTGTCGTTTCCCATGGTTTGATCCCACGTCAGAGACATCCCACAAGGACTTGCCTTTTTGACAACATGTGTTGTGTCTCGCTTGCGCTTTTTGTTGTTGGAGTTGTGTGGTTTGCCAGAAGCTTCACTCGAGGATTTGCTGTTCTCTCCGTTGGTCTTATTTGTCGATTGCAGATGATGAAACTCCATGGCGGCTTTGCCAGACTGAAATTTTCGAGCAACAATGGCCACGGTGGGGCCATCGTCGTCATCCAGATGATATGGATGCTTGTTTGTTGTGGGCGACTCTTGTGGTTCGAGTTGTTGTTGTGATGATTGCTGCAAGTGCTTCCACGTGTCCATGACGCGTCCCTTGGTAGCCCGATCAAGGGCATCTTGTTGACAATCTTGTTTGGAACAACAACGCGGATCTTGGCTGACGACAATGGACGCCAACCGTATGGGATTGGGAAGGAACCGCGACAAGACAGATCCTTGCAATCCCAAAATGGACCACCGGACCAGTTTATCGGAACAGGACATGCAGGAGGTTCGATGTTGCGGTGTGAGATTGGATCGTCCCGACTTGGTTCGTAGTTTTCCCAATAGCTGCACATTTTCTCGTGCCACCACATTCTTGTGAGTGTTGTTGTTGTTGTTGTGATCTTTTTTGTTTGTGGCAGAAGAGGAATGTAACAACTGATGACGGCCACCACAATCGGCCGCGTTGACTCTCGTATTCTCGGAAACAATAATCTTGGCGCCCGTAAAATTATTGACGCCTCCATCTCCGTACGGTTCTTCTTGCAATGGATAAATGGAGGCATCACCACAGGGGGAGTCGCTAATGTACAAATGCAACTGGATGCCAGATCGTAACTGGAACTGTTGTTGTGGCGCTTTCTGTGTCAACTCCAAGAGCTTCCTCTGTGGATTGTTATGGTCGTCGTCTTCTTCTTTCGTTCCGCCGCTCGAGTCTTCTTTTTTCGAAACTACATTATTCATGAGCTGTTGTAACTCCTTCCACAAGACGTGTACAAGACCTCGTCGGGCCAGAGCTTCGGCATGACAGTCTCTCACAATGGCCGTCTCGGCGCGAGCCAATTCTTCTTTAGTAGTATGGTCGTCTGCTGCTGTAATAAAAGTGGCACATTTGGTACCCGTGGCACAACTCACAACCCACATGTCATCCTTTCCAAAAGTGGCCACCATGGCGGCATAGACCGTCCATTCATTGTCCTTGGGTTTGCCCTTATTGGTGGGCAGCACGTTCTGGTAGTGGTCTAGTGCACACTTGGCAATCTTGTCGGACAACAATAGTAAGGATTCATCTTCCATTCTACATGTATTGCTCTCTCTCTGAATACATACATGTACTGCACTGTGCTGTACGCGTCTCGTTCAAAGATCCATCCCGTTTTTCATCAGAAGACCATCTCGATCGCTCGAGCAGACTGCATGGCGATTGCGTATCCACGCAGCCTTGGTGGCTGAATCGTCACTACTCCCTAGAGCTCGACACAGTCCTGACTAATGGTTGAAACTTCTGACAGGGTGATCATGTGCTGCTGAGTATTAGCTAGTAATCCAGATCCAGCTCTTGTGCAACTTTCGTGAGAATGATTGCGTCCACAAAAGCTCCATCGAAGAAGAAGAAAAGAGTCTTGCGACCCGTTGAGGGTACGAGAGGGTCAGCTAGTGGTAGCTAGCTAGCTGACCATGGTGATGTTTGCTGCCGCAGCAGCACCGTGGAGTCAGAAGAAGAAGAAGCAGCAGCAAGTGGACGGTCAAACGAAGAATCGTTATTCCAGTTCGGCCAAAAAGGAGTTGCTGGCCGCAAAGTTGGAAGGGACACCCACGAAGAGCCGCCACGACGATGGATGTCGCCAAAGCATCATGTCCGATGTGACGGCGACAACAGTGGCTTCTGATTCGTTACGGTCGTCTTCTCTGCACGACGCATCGTCGCAGAGAGATTCCATCTTTAGCAGCGGTGGTACGACGAGTAGTGGAAGCTTTGATTCAGAACATACTCATCTGCCCAATAAGACGAATCTACTAGCATCCTTTGAACGGAGAAACAACAACGACAACAATAATTCTTCTGATGCGGATATCTTTGATCGCTTGCATCACAACCAGAAACGCTGCCATCGTCTGTGGAAAGATCCATCCGAAACAGGTTCCCACGCTTCTTCTTCGACTCGCAGCGAGCGACTGCACGAGTATGAAAGGGACGTCACCCGGCAAGGACTCAGAGGAGAACGCAACAGCACCCCGCGTCGTACGGACAACGGTAGGAGTGTCTCGACCGACCCCGCCGCGAAGTACAGGGAGAGAAGAGTGGGAGACGCCGAAAACTCTCGGTCTCCTCTGGCACCAAAATCTCCACCGAGATCTGTTCGAAGAGAGACGCTGGATAATGCATCAGGTTATTCGTCGTACTTTGATCACCTGTATCAGCGTGCGGAACCTGTGTTGAAAAACAATTCTACGGTGGCTTCCAGCGCAGGGAGGCAGTTTGGCTCTCATTATCATGTGCAACCCTTGCCCATGTTGGAACCATTGCCGCCCCATATGATGACCCGTGCGAGCTCCAATCCGGAAGCGCTGTCCTTACGACCGAGACCGCAACGCATGGATTTGCCCGCCAGAACCAGCCAAGTGGTACGGAACTCGACATGGCAAGAATTACAACACCAGCACGAGGACTTGCTCTCCAGTAGTACTACTAGCTCGAAAAAGCAGGATGAAGAGGAGATTGGGAGTTCTTCTCGTCGCGGCAGGGAGAGTCAGCGGATTGTCACAGCACTGAGAACATCCAGAGGCGCTCGTTCCATGAGTCCCAAGCGAACCATCATCAGTGCTCCTGCTGCGACGACACGTCGACGCAAGAAGGCCGGTAAACGTGATCAAGGAGCGCCACCTTCGAGGCATGCTAGTAGGTCGCTGAGCCCCACCAGGGCTAGCAATCCACCATTATGTGTTCATTCAACGTTTGAACGATTGTATCTCAACGAAAAGCGACCGGAAAAACTTTGGAAGGAACCAGCCAGATTTGATGGGTCCAAGAGTCCAGCATACAGAGCAACGTCAAGTAGCAGCAGAAAAGACGAACCTGTGCCGGCCATTTTTGATCGGCTTTATCACAATGAGAAGCGTGCGGAACCCCTGTGGCATCCACCACCAGAGCCAGCATCACTGCGTGTGAAACTGCAACCTGGTGGTGGTCGCCATCACCCGCCAACGTCTCCCTCATCTGCCATGGGCTCTTGTGGAGGCTGGGAGGATCTCAGTTCTGTGAAAAGTCACGGTTCTCATAATAGCAGCTCGAAGAAACGCCTTTGGATGCCTCCGCGAAAGCCGAAACACTCTTCTCATGCTTATCCAGTGCCCTACTGTTCTCCAATTTCTTCCGCCAAGGCCACAGTGTCCCTGGCACCGTCGTCGCCCTCATCGTCGCACTTGGCACGTTGTAAAGCATGTATGGAACGTGCTCTTATGCCCGCGCCCAAGAAACATGCCTTTTTGAAGTCCCATTCAAGGTCCCCTCGGCCAAAGGTCTATGAACCCCCAGTTTCCATTTTATCACTGCCAAGCACAGTCATGGCAGGTGCGGGGACGCACTTGACGACGCCGAAAGGTTCGCGGGCGGTAACATTACCAGATATGACGTTGGTGACCCCGCAAGCCTCACAAGAAGAAGCAACTCCAGCGAGCTATCCACACCGGTCTGTGAAGACGAATGATTTGGCATCTTCGTCGTTTCAACAGCGATCGTGTGAGGGTGACGCCCCTTCTGGTCTTGTGTCAGCAGTTGATGCTGCTGCATTCGATACACGCAACAAACTCCTAGACCGCAAATCCCGATCGTTGAGTCCGTCCAATCGGAAGGCCAGCGCTCCTTGTATGCAACAAGGTCACGAGGAAGTTCAGGACATGGCCTGCATCTTGGATGACTCCGAAGTGGAAGGGAAGCGGAAAGATGTTCCAGCGGTTGTTTCTACAGCAGATGTGCCTGCGTCATCAAGACCACGAAGAGTTGACTGCGACGATTCCGTTCCCAATGTCAACCAGAAAGAGCGGGCAGAGGATGACAGCGTGCAACGCGCCGATCAATCAACCGTCGAGGAATGGCAAGGACAAGGACACGATGAACAAAAGGAGAACTTGGATGCATTGGAACAGAGCAAAGCTTCAACAATGGCCGAGAGTGACCGCAATTCTGCGACCGTTGGCGCAAAGAAAGGCGATCCAGGAGCTATTGAATCAAGCGTCCCGCAATTATGCACAGCCAGTGAAATTGCTGCGGATTGCATTCTGCCGACCAATGTAAAATCCTTTGTGGATGTGGAGGACGATAACGAGTCAACAAAATCATCAACAGACGGCCGCGGATCTGCTGCTCGTGATTGTGTAACGGACAAATCTTTTGCAGGGATCTCCGCCACAGACACCTCTGCCAAGGAGCAAGAGACAGAATTTTCTTCCGTCTCCACTCCGGAACTGAGCTCTGCCGTGGATGAGTCTGTCTGCGTGACGGGTGTGCAAATGTCAAATCCAGCTGTCGATTTGGTGAAGCAGATCGGTGCCGAGAGTCTTGGGCACAGTGTGGACTCCAACAAGAAAGAACACAGCCCCACCCGGGATGAAGCCGAGAGCCGTGTGGTTTCCACAGACAAGTCAAGAAGGCAGCTGGATGCTGCCCCAAGTTCGGCTGTGTCGAACGCCGCAAAGCGTGTCGGTGCACACATTGTGCGCCCGCAGCGAGGAAATCTTCTTGCAGCATCGGTTGTTGGCCAGTACCTGGAGGAGAAGATCCCAGAAATCAAGGAAGCAATATCCGTGTATGCTTCCAGGAGCACCGATGACGAAGACATGATTGACCCTGACGAGGTTGTGCCAACCAAACTATCGTCCCTCGCCTACGATTGGTGGACTGTGTCCATTCATTCATCTCAGTGTCATACAGCAAGTGATGCGGAGAGTGTTGTCGTCTCTCCGCCAAGAACCAACAACTACTCGTTCTTGTTCCCAAAGCCGCCAACGACGGCATGCATCGGGTGGTTGTTTCTTAAGCCGTCACATCATGATGCCTGATGCCGTGTGGATATATGTTAGTCGAAACCAAGATCACCATTTCTGTTCACCACCCTAAGATGACGAGCATCTTTATTGCAGGGATTTGAGATATTTTTGTAGGTGCAGCTGGCGATGTGATCTCTAGTTAGTTTGTAAGAGCAAAGTGAGAAACTACTAAAAGAATTAGCTTCGTGGTTCTTCCGCCTTACAGTCCAATGTTCACTACGTGGCAAGTAGCTTCTGTTCGGTTCTAGCTACTAGCCAATGCCTCTTACCGAGGGCAAGTAATTGCAGGTACTGCGATGGGTCAGGGACAATGATTACCAACAATGGAGCCAAGGGATCGTGCTTCAGCTGCTCATGCTGGCCATTGTACTGTCTTGAAACATGCTCATGATAACCATGGTGCGGAATGGGATGAGTCGAGTCCACCTGTACGTATTGATGCTGCTACATGTGGGCATTTGGATGTCCTTCAGTATTCTCATGGACGAGGCTGTCCCCGCAGGGAATCTGCTCTTGTTTAGGCAGCTCAGTGTGTCGTTTCCTGCCACGGCTTCATGAAAATGGTTGCCCCTGGGGCTTTGCTACCATCAACAGTGCTGCCATGGTGGATGAGCAGACCGTACTCGTACTGTACGGCAAACCTATGGGCGAGCCTGGCCCTCGCTCTAGCTACCGAAAATGAACACTTTTGGGGTTTCTTTTTCGAAATCGCAAAATATTACGGTCAAAAGACCCATGGAAAATCTCAAAATGGAGGCTTCTCCGAAGGGCCCGCTTGCGGTGTTGGTGTCCACTTCTTCAAGTTTGTGCTGGGATAACAACAACCTGCAGCGGCTATCAGTATCTAGCTAGCAGAGGACCAGACGATAGACAGGATTCGCTTACTATAGCAACAATGGTACGTACCGGTAGAATGGAGGCATTGATAATTAGTTTCTTTAGAGACACGACAGTTGATCTGGTTGGGCGGCATGGATTTTGATTGATATTGGATCTTTACGCGAAGGATCCATCGGCATTATTTTTGGTGGAACCGCCAATTACAGTCATATCCATCCTTGTTATCCGTTAACTCACGAAATAATTGTCTGTTGTTGTTGCTCTACATTCCGTGTTCACTTCTGCGATGCTACCCCAACAATCTACCTCAACTCTCTGGATACCCAAATTAACCGGTGTTTTCATTGCCACCACTACGTACTACTACTTTAGCCTCTCCGACTGGATATCAACAAGAAATTGTCAGCCTCTTCGGAGCGCGTCAAGAGTGTGGATCTGCATCCCAATGATCCTTGGGTACTCGCTGCCCTGTACAGTGGACATGTCATGATTTGGGATTATGAAAGTGGTAGCTGTGTCAAATCCTTTGAGGTGAGCGAGTTGCCCGTTCGGTGTGCCAAGTTTGTGGCACGCAAACAGTGGTTCCTTGCCGCCTCCGATGACATGCGATTCCGAGTCTTCAATTACAACACCATGGAAAAAGTCAAGGAATTTGAAGCTCATGCCGATTACATTCGCGGTCTGGAAGTACATCCATCCTTGCCCTATGTCCTGTCGTCCAGTGATGATATGACCATCAAACTCTGGGATTGGGATCGTGGCTTTGACTGCACCCAAATGTTTGAGGGTCATGCTCATTATGTCATGCAGGTCAAATTCAATCCCAAGGATACCAACACGTTTGCCAGTGCAAGTTTGGATCGTACCATCAAGGTCTGGGGATTGGGATCCTATTCTCCCCATTACACTTTGGAAGGGCATGAACGGGGTGTCAACTGTGTCGACTATTATCCCTCGGGAGACAAACCCTACATTCTCAGTGGAGCCGATGATCGTAGTGTCAAGATTTGGGATTATCAGGTGAGTCTGGGTACTCTTTTGGTGTCATTTGTAATTTCAATTGGAATTGCTTCCATTTTTCTAACTTTGGTTGTTGCTATGGCAGACCAAATCCATTGTACACTCCTTGGAAGGACATACACACAATGTCTGTGCTGTCATGTTTCATCCCAAGCTTCCCATTATTGCCAGTGCTAGTGAGGATGGAACCGTTCGTATCTGGCAAAGTACTACCTACCGTGCCGAAACCACCCTAAACTATGGAATGGAGCGTGCTTGGGCTCTCGCTGCCAATTCGGACTCCAACAAATTGGCCATTGGATTTGATGAAGGTTGTGTCTGCATTGAACTTGGCAGTGATGATCCAGTAGCCAGTATGGATACCACTGGTAAGGTTGTGTGGGCCCGGAACAATGAAATCAAGACTGCCTCGGTTCGTGGTGTTGTTGGAAGTGGTGACGATGCTTTGCCCGATGGTGAACGCCTTCCTGTGGTCCCTCGTGACTTGGGAGCATGTGACCTCTATCCCCAAATGTTGAAGCACAATTGCAACGGTCGTTTTGTCGCTGTTTGTGGTGATGGTGAATTCATCATTTACACGGCCCAGGCACTGCGCAACAAGGCATTTGGTCAGGCGTTGGATTTTGTCTGGAGTGGCAGTGGAACTGGGGACTATGCTATTCGTGAATCTGTCAACCGCATCAAGGTGTTCAAGAATTTCAACGAATCCAAGTTGATTGTCCCTGCCACTGCTTCTGCTGATGGGTTGTTTGGTGGTCAAATGATTGGAGTCAAGGGTGGAGAGGGTGCTGTTCTCTTCTACGATTGGGAGAGTGGGGAGTTTGTTCGCAAGATTGATGTTACTCCCAAAGCTGTCTACTGGAGTGATGCCGGCAACATGGTATTGTTGGCTTGTGAAGACTCTGCCTATGTCTTGTCTCACAATGCTGCTGTGACAGCTCAAGCCATTGGCATGGGGCAAGTATCACCCGAGGGCGGAATCGATGGAAGTTTTGATTTGCTTTATGAGATCAGTGACACTGTTACCAGTGGAATGTGGGTTGGCGATTGTTTCATCTATGTCAACACTGTAGGACGACTGAAGTACAGTGTTGGAGGACAAATTGAAACTCTTGTTCATTTGGATACCAACTCTGGTGGTGCTACACAGCACACTGTTCTGGGTTACTTGGCCAAGGAAGACCGGATCTATTTGATTGACAAATCACTCAACATTGTTTCCTACTGTGTCATGTTGGCTGTGTTGCAGTACCAGACTGCTGTGATGCGAGGGGATTTTGATGCTGCCAATGAACTACTTCCCAACATTCCAGAGTCGGAGTACACCAAGGTTGCCAGATTCTTGGAGTCCCAGGGATTCAAAGAGGAAGCATTGGAAGTCACTACAGATCCCGACCACAAGTTCGATTTGTCGCTCGAGTTGGGCAAAACCGACCAGGCTCATGCCATTCTCATGGAGACTCCCGAGGAAGACAAGCATTCCACTGACACGGAAACGAAATGGAAGCGCCTCAGTGATGCCGCTCTTAAGGATACCAACTTGGAGCTCTGTGAAGCTGCTAGTATTGCTTCCAATGACTTTTCCGATCTGTTGCTTCTCTACTCGGCAACCGGAAACTTATCTGGTATGGCAAAGCTGGCCAAACTTGCCGCTGACAATGGGAGGACCAATGTTGCCTTTGTGGCCTATTTGTTGACTGGCAACGTTGAAGCCTGCACTGATCTACTCATTGCCACTCACCGCCTACCCGAAGCGGCCTTCTTTGTGCGTACCTACTTGCCATCTCGAATGGATGAAGTTGTGGCATTGTGGAAGACTGATCTTGCTTTGGTGAGCGAGACAGCAGCCAAGGCTTTGGCCATTCCCTCGGAGAATGCTGATTTCTTCCCCGACTTGAGCATTGCTTTGCAAGTGGAGCAGATGTTCCTGGCCCAAAGGGCAGGAACCAAGGCTACTGGCATTCCTGCAGTGGACTACATGACCGCCAAGGCAGATTTAGATCTGAATTTGATTGAGCTGATCAAGCAACGTGACGCACCACCACCTACTCCGGAAGAGATTGCTGCAGCTGAGGCAGCTGCTGCACAAGCCCAGGTGGAAGCACAGGCAGCCGCTGATTCCTCGGCTGCAGAACAGGCTGCAGCTATGGAACAGGCCAGAATGGAAGCCGAGGCTGCTGCAGCTGCTCAGGCGGAAGCAGAAGCCAAAGCGGCGGCAGAGGCTGCTGCAGCTCAAAAGATGGAAGATAGTGGAAATGATTTTAGTGATGATTGGTAGATTGTGTTATCAAAGGACCATGCTAAACATACTTAGAACAAAGATCAGAATGTGAGTTGCATTACATGTAGAAACCTTTTGATAGAAACCTGGTCATTAGAATGCTTGGGATATATCTGTGAGATGGATAATTGCTTGTTTGGATTCCTTTATCTTCTTCCAATCTGAGATGCGAGAAATGAGGCGGTGATGTTACTCGAACCGGCAGAGTTCTTTTGCAGAGCAACCTGTCCAAGTCGCCTTCAACTACAAACAATACCGTCGAGGAAGTGCTTGCAACTAAAAGCTTGCTAGAATCATTCATTGCAATCAAGGAAATATGTAGCTACCGATTGAAAAAGTGCCTTTTGGCTCAATGCAAAATATCTCCATTATAATACCAACGGAGAACAAAGCTGGGTATCATAGCTTGCGATAACGGTGCAGCTACAAGAGATTTCAAAAAGACGAGCGCCACCACACCTCTCTCCTCAAGCGTCGTTAAATAAGTGTTCCAGGTACTTTTCTAGGCTGACAGCACACTGGACGTATGTACTGGCATCATCGTTGTAGAGCTTGCAATTGTTGACCATGAGCGTCAAGTCCGAATGTAACATTTTTTTGGATTTGTAATAGTCGCCCTTTCGGATGCGTTTCTCAATGGTGGAGAGATCAATCGGTTCGGTGACAACGTCCAGGTAGTCCTGTGTATGGGAGCACCACGTGTGAACAAAGAGGGCAACTGTGTGTTAGCCCGTCTTTCTAAAAACAGAATGTAATCAAACAACCACAGCCATGCACAACGAACGTACCAGTACTTCACTCGTATCCACGGGCTCACGAAAGGGCCATGCAAATTGTTGTTCTTCGAGTTTTCGCACAATACTCAGCATTTCGTTTTTCAGTGCATTCTTTTGTCGGTCGGCTTCCTTGCCTTGTCCCCCCGCATTGATGAGATCGTTCATGGTCCATCCAGCCTCCCGCATCCCTGGAATGGCCATGGCACGGGCCGCACTTTCATTGACTCTGGAAACGCCCTCCACATTGGGACGAAAGTCTTTGGGCAGTGGTGGATAGACCTTGCTCGAATTGGCTTTGTATGCGACGCGACCCAAAATGAATTGTCGTTGGGCCTGGATCATTTCCGGAATGCGTGTGAAATCAATGGACGGGTGTACGTAGCATTCCATCATGGTTCCTCCGTCGTAGTCTTTAATGAGACCCAGGTAACGTCCTTTGGGCATGGCAATATTCTTGGTGAAACCTTGCTTTTTAAAGTATCCAATGGCGTAATTGTCTTGTTTCATTCGTCGAGAAAACCAAGTCAGCGGTGAGATTGAGGCTGATTGTCACGACAGTAATGCAGCGACCATTTCTTATTCTCACCTGCATAGGTAATAAAGTATTCGATTCCTCTTCTGGCTCCTTCCTGCTTGACCAAGTTCATGAGCTTTGTTCCGTACCCCTACATTCCAATCATTCCATGCAAAAGAACTCTGTCAGCTCCGTTCGATCAAATAAATGCAGGACAGTAACACACTCGATATTTACCTTGACTTGATGCGAAGCCGAGACAGCACAAAATGCTAAAGTTGAATAACAGTATCCGAAATAGAAAACGAGGAATTCAATTTAGCAATGACGACAGTCAAGGTGGTGGTAGATGCCGTATATCTGCACTCACCAATCTCTGCAAACTAAAAAAAGGCAAGCGTGAGCCATGTGAGATATATTTGGGACCAAGTCGAACAAGTTCTATTCACACCCAATACAATCAAATCAAAAAGATAAGTAGATAGATAGAAAGAACATACCCTCATTTCTGGAAAGGCTCGAAAGCAAATGGCTCCAATGATTTCGTCGTCCGAATCTTTGACGGTCGGATCATCGCTCAGAATCGCCAGGCTTTCGTGTCGAGTGTCAAAGACCAACCGCGCAATGTAGGCTCGACTACGGTAGACAGTAACAACAAGAAGGAATGAATTAGGAGAATAAATACATGTACCCAAACAAACACCACAATGGATGACACGTACGGCATTTTTGGCAATTGCCTGGAAAAAAGACTCTTGAGCCCCACCAATTTGATCATGTTGGCTGGCTCACCATCATTTGTGACGGTGATCCAGCGCAGTTTGTCATAGGGATTGCCACTGTCACCGTCTTTCTTATTCGCCGTATCGGCGGCAGGAGGTTTCAGATTTTCTTCGGTAGTAACGTCGTCTGCCGAGTTTGCCGTTGTTGTGATTTCCTCGACTTTGCGCTTCTTGGAAGCATCGTTACGGACACTTTTTCCCATGGTGATTGACTGACTGACTGACTGACTGATGAATATTATAACTAAAAACTTGCCAAGCAATAAGTGAGAAGGTGGATGGATCAAGCTGACCTACTGTACAACAACAGCATTTGGGAGGAAGTGGACAGTGTTGGATCCTTTCGGTGATCCATGCACATGAAACCGTGACATGAAACGCAATAATAATGCGATGCATTCATTTGGCTTCTTTCATAGCTAGTCTATTCTAACAACTAAGGTCTGTTCCGTTTTCTACTACAGTATGCGCACATACCGCAGGTACCGGTAGGTACTAGTGAGGTAATAGTTGGCCTCGGGCCTTTGCCGCCACCGTCCGTGCGCTACGGGAGCGGCCGCACAAGCAGCATTGGCAGGAGTACTGTACGTGCAGTTGGCTGGAAACAATGGCACTCGATCCTCGACCACTTTGGCAACCAATGCCAGTTGGTGATGTAAAGCTGTCTTTCAGCTATAGTACTAAAACCTAGAACCACAAATCGTCCCTCCCATGCATCATATTAATAGCACCCAGCAGAATTGGGCTGCCACCATACATTTGCACTCAACCGCTCCACTCATCCTCACACTGCACCTCCAATGCTCTTCAGTTCTGAGCTGCTTTGTCTGCGGTGCCTCTATCAGTCATCTGTTATCTGTCATCTGCTAGTTAGAGTTAGCAATCGCCCTGTCATCTACATGTATCTTGAGCCTTTTCCTGTAGCCAGCTACGGCACGGTAGCCGAACTGCATGGATTTGCTTTGATTCTTATCGTGCATCTGATGACTTGCTCATCCAGCCAATGCATGAAGCCAGAGTGACAACGTTGTCACTGTTGGCACTGTGCCTTCGCTTCGAAAAGTCCGTGTGACGAGCCAATGAAATCGCTTAGGCAGACAATGCGACTGTTGCGGTTTGCAGCTGGCTCTAGCTAGAGCTACTGGTAGCTCCGTTGGGGCCCATTGAGTTGCATTGCAGCCACCTGATGAGAACAAAAAGCCAAGAAAAAGATGTTTAGTACTCAAGTAGGACAGTTGGGTGGTTCAGTATGACATATTCGCGTACCTCACAAATTTATCAATTGCAGCAAAAAGTGAGTATTCTAAACGAAAGCCAAAGAAAGGCTACCATTCTATGCTGGCAGTGCTCTAGTCTCTTGACATTTCAAAATGAGCTCGTAATGACATGCTCGAGTACGGTACTCTACAGTAGCACCATCGTACGATCTATCTAGCTAGCTAGCTAGCTAGTAGTCAACTGGCCTGGGTGAAACAAATCCCGAAAGGACCCTTTTGTGGTGCTCAAGCTGTTCTCATCCAGCTTCTGAAGTCATTTGCGAACCATGACTTCGTCTTTGATGCGAACACCAAGTGGACCGCGGACCAAGATCCGAAGCCATCCCTTGAGCTTCTGGAAATACCGGACCCCAACTATTCTTCGCGGGGAGAAAACAAGCCTTGCTGGGAGAACTCGCATTGGTACCGGTACTAGCTACTAGTAGTAGAGGAGGAAGGATTGGGTGCTCGAAAAGGATTCGATTCTGTGCTTCCATAATTACAGGCACTGTTGGAAATGAAAAGCCCCCCATCACGTCCTTTCCATCGGATCCCACAAACACCCCAAAAACAACCTCCTTCACACCTCACAACAGCCATTGTGCATAAACACAATAATTGACCATGAAGACCCTCGGATTATCTGTTCTTTTTGCAGTGCTACCATCAGTCGCGGCGTCATCACAACTACGGCGTGCCCAGGTGGAATGTCCCGAAGATGGCACCATCAAGATTGGTGGAACCCAATCCGTGCAAAGACTCGCTCAAGCCTGGAAGGACGCCTACATGATGAAGAATGCATCCACTAATCAGTTTTGTCCACTCCATGACATTCGCATTGAAGGCGTTGGTTATGCGACGGGGGCAGCAAGGGTCTGTGGAATACAACCCATCTATGACAATCTGGACCTGGCTGGAATGTCGGGGCCCTTCTTTGCTCCTCAGGCAACCTCCGACAATGGATGGAGCTTTGACTGCAGTGCACAGCAGCATGAAGATGATGCACACCGCAAGGCGACCCTGGTATGTACCGTATGCATCCTTGCAGCAAAGCATGGAACCCTCTTCCTACTCATCCATCGCGTACATGTACTGTGCCCTCACATTGTTACCGTATTCTTGCGTACGGTGTACCAGATTCGTTTGGCTCATGAAGGCATTGCCCTTGTGGCGGCAGCCAACGGCACTGCCTCCAGGTGCATTGAACATCACCTAGGCGGCGGGATCACGACAACTCAATTGAGATGGATCTTTAGCAGCTACAATGAGAAACTGATGAAATCCTTATCCGATGCTGTCCCCTTTTCCGATGGGGACATCGGGACACATCTCTGGAGTGAACTGAACGAGGGTTGTACCGAGACGGAGATAATGTTGGCTTCGGTAGGAGTGGAATATGGAGCTGCTAGTTTTCTTACGGATCATGTCTTGTATGGACATGGAGAAACCATCCGTACCGTTGCACGAGTATTGGACCACGAAGACACCAAAGTCTACTACACATTCCCAACCGTGCAAGATTCTTTGGAGTTTTTGGAGAATCACACGGAGGCGATTGCATTCATACAGCTTCGAGACCTCCATTCGTCTGCCTTTCGCGACCATGCGGACAAGATTCAGGCCGTGGCCATCAAGGACAACCACAACGGAGAACCCATTCTGCCCGAGGCAGAGGCATTCGACAACAATCAGTATCCCCTTTCGCGTGCCATGTACTTGGGCGTGCACAACGATCCCGCATCGTTGCGTCTCACGGCACCCTTCTTGGAATTTGGTCTCTCTGAGGAGGGCACCAAGATTCTGAGTGAGGCAGGCTTTTGGGCCTTGGACACTTCGGATTCTGTCGTCATGAAAACTCGGCTTCAGATTCCAGGAGGTGTGCCTATGCAGGAGATCCAGGACAGCTGCGGTCCGGAGTACGGTCGCATCTCCATGGCCGGTAGCGCGACGGTCTTCCCCGTGGCTCAAATCTGGTCCGACGTCTACAACTTGGGGTGCCCTACGGTGGACATTTCAATTGAACAAGGGGGGAGCAGCGCCGGTGCAGGACGCGTCTGTGCCAATCTTCACAAGGGACCGCCAGTTACGATTGGAACGATGTCGAGGGAGTGGAAGGGGGCCGAAGGAAAGGAACACCAGTACGTCTACGATTGCCTCAAAGGGGATACGTCGCGCTCGGCAGTCAAAGTCGACGTTGCCTACGACGGTATCACCGTTATCCTCAAGAAAGGGGGTATCGCAGACCAGTGCCAGCAAATCCTTGGAGGATTCACCATCGACCAGCTCCGATGGATCTATTCTGGGTATTCAGAAAGTGCACTGGAAGCGACTGGGTGGAATGCAACGAGTTTGAAGAATAGCGACAACGACACAAGCACGCACTTGTGGAGCGAACTTCACCCTGATTGTGCCAAAGAGGAGATCCGCTTGGCCGGAGACATTCTAACCGAAGGTAAGTGCGAGGCTGGTTCGTTTGAAACACCACATACATGACGACCCAGTTGGTTCAAATCGGCTTATAGTGGTCTTCTTGCTACGGTACTAGGAACGCACACGAATTTCCGAAAGACTATTATGGCAGACAAGGCAAATGGAGAGGACATTGACGTGTCAAGACCTAAAGGCTACTTCCAAGCTTTGGGCTTCACGCTGGTGGCCTATCTGCAGAGTCACGGCGACGCCATTGCATACATAGGTTTCAACTACTACCACGACAACAAAGAACTGCTTGCAGCCGCTCCCATTCAAAATCAGGATGGTGTCTATGTACTTCCATCCGCTGAAACAATCGGTGGAGGCACTTACAATCCACTCGTTCGCAGCATATCAATGAACCTCCTCAACGATAGGGAAGCACTTCGAGATACAGTTCCATTGCTAAAGTTTGGTTTCTCTCAGCCAGATCTGGTCACAGCTACGGGAATGGTTCCAGTTCAAGGGGAAAGTTTGCAAACAATGCTGGACCGCCTTGACAGGGCCTCGTCGGGAGATTTGGATCTTACGTCCTCGGCGCTTCACAACTCAGTGTCTTCATGGAGAGGATCCTGCCTCGCCGTGTCACTGTTCTTCGCTGGGCTGCATGTCCTACATTTAATCTCTGCATAAAGAACTACATATTGCATAGATGCAACACTCTGGTCAAGATGAAACATTGCTACACGGCTGCTATCACAACTACCAGTACCGTACTAGTCATGTTTCTACGCCCGCTGCACCTCTTACGGTGCCTCGTACGGTACCCAGCCTATACTTCAGAGATAGTATGCTCTTCATTTAGGCGTATTCGTTACCTGTGACGCTTGAGCTCTGAACAAGACTTTGGCCCGCACACAACCGAAGCACACACCAGCAATAGGAATCGATCCACGGCATCTCTCCAGTGGCTATCTAGTGTGGATTCGATGAGGCACAGTGTTTGCAAACCTGGCTACAAAATGTTCTGCAATCTGTGCCCCTCCGCTTCTTTTCCTTTTTCACGATGCATTCTAGCTACGTTAGCCAGAGTTAGCAATACACAGTCTGCCATGCACGAGTGGAGCAGTGATTGCTTCATCCGATCCCGATGCCTCGAACATGGGTGTCCACTGTACAAACATTATTTCAATAGTGTCCCAGTAAAACCAAGGATTTGTCCTCGTTGGGATCCTCGAGCACACTGCCTGCAACTCGAGTGCATCGAACTATTTTTTGCGGGTGGTCAAAGGCTGGACGGGTTGGACTTGTTCTTTCAAAAGTCCTGCGTAGGGTAGCCCGCGCAGATCGTTCCCAAGGCTCCCCCAAAGAATGATCATCGTAGGGCTTCTGTCTACCAAAGTAATTCTGACTTTTCCTTCCTTCACTAATACCCGTGCTCCTTCATAGTGCCGATACAAACGATTGCCCATTCGCCCAGTGTCGTCCAGCCTTGCTATCTTCTTTGGCAACGCCTGACAACATATTCTATTCAACGGGGGTTTACTGGCGCAGAATCCCACCTTAGTTAGAGGCGCAAAATCCGACCTTAGAGGAATCTCCGCCTGGAGATGCTGTAGACTTGTATATTGATTCAAGCAAAAACACGCATGCAACCACATCGCAGAATATAACCTTAGAGGAATGCGAGCCAGGTTCAATATTATTTCTGGCTCAGTCGAGCTGGGCTGTGGGCTTGCGGGACGAGCTTCGATGGGCACAGCGTTTCCACAAAAATCTGCACCCTTCGCTTCTTTTCCCTCTTCAGATTTAGGGGTAGGCAAACAGGTTAGTCGACGGCTTACTTCAGCTACTCGTATGCACAAACGTATCGCACATCGGTTCGAAATGGATGTTTGGACGTTTAAGGTCTGGCCCTGGCAGGGCAACAAATGACAATTCTATGCCTTTTTATTTGAGCGAATTTGTGTCAAATAGGTGAGTCCAGTTCGCTCCACTCTCGCATACATGTACTATGCTGTTTACCTGGTAAAGCATGCTGTGAGGGAGGCAAACAGGTTAAGTCGACGCCTAAATTCAGCTTCAAGCTTTTTGCGACTTTATGGGGGGGTTAGGCACCAGCGCGGGGGAGGGAAAAAGAAGAGGAGAGGGAGAGGGTTATCCGTTGGATTCCGAATTCCCAATCCCAGACATGATCCAGTCATAGTGCGACACAGGTATCATCCAGCAGTATCACGTAACGGAAGGGGATCTGACAAAGACTGCAGTCATCGCCCCTCATTTCTAAGTCTCTTTTGTCTGAAGAACAGTGTAAGTGTCAGCAAATACGTCATGGAACAGGTCTTTTGACGTTGGTCTCACACTATCTCTGAATTCAAATCGGATTCAACTGATAACGGATAATCGTTTTCGCACTCCTTTGCTCGCACCAAACCCTCCCATAAATTCAAATCGGTGCTTTTTGAAAGCCATCGCTGGTGTAACGTGTCTGAACAGGGTTGAGCTTCCTACTGTTGAACGCGTAGGTTTTTCCCTTCTGGGAATTCACTGCACCTAGTTGAGTAACACTCGCATCCGTGTGGATAACGAATGTTTCATTGAAGTCAGGGTAGGCGAGCAAGGTTTATTTGCTGATGATCTTCTGCATCTGGCTAAAGGCTTTATCGTGTTCGGCTTCCCATATCCACTTCGTTGTTTTGGAAGTCAACGAAGCGAGTGGGCCAGTACATGTGGTCGTCTAATCCACATGTCTCGATAGTATTTCACTAGTCCAATGAAACTACGGAGTTCCTTCCTGTTGTAGGAAGAGCGATATTCTTGATGCGATTCTATTTTCTTTGTTATAGGTTGGATCCCTCTCGAGTAATCAGTAACCTAGGTACTCAAATTTTCTCCTCTTGCGAGGAAGGACTTGGTAGCATTGATCTAAGTCCGGCTTCTCGAAAAGCCGTCGGAGAACTTCATCCAACTTTCAACGTGGATCTTGCTAGATCGCCGTTAGTTAGGATGAGTAGATCATCAATGTATGCACGGAACTTTCTAAGGTCGTGCATTATGTTTCCCATCTTCTCTTGGAAGATGTCGGGACTCATACATAGGCCCATTGGCAAAATCTGGTACTCGTACTTTACCCACGGGAGTACAATGGTACACAGTTGCTTCGAGTGAGTTGACAGCCCGATGTGATAGTATCCCATGTCCAGGTCTAGACTAGTAGCGTACTTGAATCCATCTGGTTTCAAGAGCATGTCCTGTATTTTTGGATAGGATAAGGCTTTCGCTTAAATCTTTTGTTCAGTTCCCGAAAAACAGAGATGAATCGTACATATCCGTCTTTTTTGGGAATGATAAAAGTTTTTGCCGCCCACTCGGAACGTTTTACCTTCTTGAGTACTCTTGCTTCGCAGAGACGTTCACCCTCCATCTTAAGAGTGTTTGGTTTGGACCCGTGGAATAGGGCTAAGCCCTGCATGATAGGGTTTAGCATCAGGGAGAATTTCTACTTCGTAGTCGTTCCATCTGCCACTGTCCTAAAGTACCATCGAATAGTTCAGAGTACTTCTTCAGTTAAGGGAATGAAGCTGTTCCTCTCTTCCGTGTTCAACTGCTCTTGACTTTGGCAAAACTGCCTTAAGTCAGCTTGTTCGTATTTCGCATCAAGAATCTTCTTGAGACGATCTGCACTGTCATCAACAGCGTTAGGATCAGGAATGAAAAGTTTTCTTCTTCATTGGTGTCGCTTGCTTTTCATAGGGATAGATGCGCCGTCCCATTCCATTGACATGGTAGTGAAATCGAACTTGAAACCTAAGTCAGAGAGAAAATCTCGACCTATGATCATGGTCATACGCCCCCCAAGCTCTTGGTGAAGTGTAAATCCAATTCGATAATTCTATCATCGTGGAATTCAGGAATCATGATTGCACCCTTGCACTTCGTACTGGTGTTTAATTCTCCTGCAGGGTAGTCCACATCGTTTGGAGGCCCACAAGATCCTTCATGAGTAAATTTTCTTAGCATGAGGTTTGGCAATCAAGGTTCCAGATGCTCCTGTATCCAGTAAACAACGGAGCTTGTAACGGGTTTTGGTTTCCCTTTTTCTCGCTTGTTAAATCTAACATAGACGATGGGTTTGAGGTCTCTTCTCTTGCGACGTTTACGAGGTGGTTGGCCACGGGTGAGGTTAACGATGCTAAAATAGATCATCAGAGTCTATTTGATCAGCTTCTAGGCAAATTTCATCTAATTTGCCGTAGAGTTCACCAGTTGCAAAACATTCTTGTTTACTAGTTAGTGAATTCTTCCTCACTTTGGTATGAGAAAATCGGAACGGGGTTCCGTTGAGTCATCATTCCGGCCTATTCCCAAGATAGAGATTTCTCCATCCAAGTGATTGGAAGTTTTGATAGAGGAGTTTTCCTCATTGTCAGAGTTCTGATTTGCGCTTGGGAACATGGTTGCGAAGTTTGCAAGTGGTTGCACGAGTATCGTCGATCTCGTTTTGGTCGTCCATGTCGACGAGAGGAAGAATGGGTTTTGTCACGGCAACTGTTTTTCGAAGTTGCCGAACGCATGCTTTCCTTGAGCATTCTTCATGGTGAAGGAATAGATTGAGGTAGCTGAAAGCTATTGTGTTTGTTTAACAAAATGCACTACGCTAAAGCTAGTTAAAGATCTTTCGAGTTTATTGAGTTTGAGAGAATGAAAGTTATTGGAGAGATTAGAAAGCTATGAAAACTAATCAACGAGAGAGATATTCATCAAGGGATCGTAGATCTGGTTTCCGGCGGGAGACTGTAAGTTGTGATAGAGTAGGTTGTGGTAGTAATGCTACGTCATTCCACGATCCTAAAACGGAAAACGCGAGGAAGGTTTGTCTAGCCGGATCTAGTAGCGTGGAAGTACTCCACGCTAGCTAAATATCTAGGAGCGATGTTTCATCATCAATCTAGTATGAATAGCGCGTCATTGGAAACCCTGTCTCAAATGACATTTCACGAGAGACTCAGTCATGAGTCGAACTCAAACCCTATTTAGTATCGAGTCGCGAATAAGCGTAAGAGCCGTGTATTGCCATTTCGGTCACGGGGAGGATCTGTCCTCCAGCTTTTTGTGAACGGTACTTTATCTCTCTCATATTAATGCTGTGTGAACCATTAGCGGGACCAGTCATACTCTGCCTCCGCTCCCGATAGATCTCCCTTAGGCTAGTGAATAATTGCTGATTATGTTGCTCGTTGTCTGGATGGTTCAAAGAGCTTTGTGGAGTAGTCCGATTCCATGGATATAATCTTGCAAAGAATAGCACATCGTAGTTTGTCTGCTTCGCACACAGGCTCTTTCCAAATCACGGTACTTTGCCAGTTGAATCCATCCTTGTGGCTCGTCAAACTCATTGATGGGTATGCATTAAGCAACAGCTCGAGTCAGTATGCCACTGCGAGAAAGTCAGGTGTGCTTTTGATCCTCATTGGCGACGGCCGCTTGCTTCTTCCACCAATACGTGGACGACGGTAACCGATAGAGGCGAGACGACGTTTGGTAGAGGACGTTCGGTGGGGGACAGAGGTAGTCGGTCGGTATCCGTAGAGGTAGTAGTAGTAGTTGTTGTTGTTGTTGCCAAGTGTCTTGCCCCTACCCATGTAGTCGCTGACTTCAAGACAAACTAGCCCAGCAAGTTGTAGTAGTAGTTGGTTGTTGTTGTCTGTATCGGTTTAGAGGAAAGGAGTTCAAGGCACAATAGCGCAGCAGTAGTGGTGGTCGGTCGTCGGTCGGTAGTGGTATCGGTATCGGTAGAGGAAGGAGGTCGGTCGGTAGTAGGAAGGGAAGCACCGTCGGTAGTTGGAAGGATAGAAGATTAGGTAGCATTGCCATGTCGCCCATTGGGATAAACAATAACAAACAACAACAACAACACAACAAACAACAAACAACAACAACAACAGTCGACGCCATTGTCGATAACTCA